CTACTTTCTCCAGTGCCAAGCACCTTATATTTCCAAGTTCATTGCGACACGTGGGGCAACAGTTGTGCACTCTAGCCTTACAGCTCGAGCAGAGAGTATGGCCATTTGGACACTGCAATATAAGCTTCAATAAGTTCTCACTTTGATAAAACCATATCCTAGGACATGTATATTAGGACCTATGTGCATTTAATGCAATCTGAAGATCAAATAATGCTAATGCATATAATGGGAAAATGCAATTGAGGCCCTCCTGGTAGCAAGCAGAGGCATGGATTTTGTTCGGAGTTTATGAGACAGAGAGCTAAACATGGAGTATATAATTATATATAAGATAGGATGGTGTACATTTTAATCATCATGTTAGATGATGTGTGATGGTATTTTTAAATTAATGCTTCACATTCGATGAGTAGACAGTTTCAAAGAAATCCAGTTCTGGAGTACATGTTTTTGAGATATTCAAATTTGTGAATATTTTCAGAGTTGTATATATTTTATGCAAAATAAATGAGTTTCAAATTTTGAGTAACTTTATATTAGATAATGTAATTTTGTACAACTACCCGATACTTCAAAGCCTATTAGCATCAATTGCAGGAAAAAAAAATTTGGCTCTATGATTTTTCTTATTTTGAAGTTTTGATAATTTAATATTAATAAAAAGGAGAATGAGATCCTCCATGACCACTAATTTTTGAACAAATACTAAAACATACCTGGTGAATTGGAGGACACATTAAATTCATGCAAACAGGACACTCGAGTAGGTCATGCACATTGTGGTTTGATGGCATTCCAGGAATTCCAAGCAAACCAGGGGCAGCTTTTCTGAAAGGGGAAGTCCTTACATCACCAGTGGAAGTTGCAACATCAGAATCTGCAAACGCCATACGAGACTCAGCCACATCCTCACAGAAGCGACCTCCAGGAGACATGTTTCTTCCTCAAATGTCAATGCCGGTACTCTCAAATTGGGATCAATATCATAGTCTATTCCCCAATTGTGTAACTTTTATCAAGTGTCAATTTAATTACCCTGTCACCCACCATTAGAAGTTTAGTGGTATGCAGAACTTCTCTTTTAACCAAATCTATGTAGTTGATTTTATGGAAAGCAAGGTATTTATCAGAAAAAGGCAGAAAATAAAGATGCCAATCTACATTTTCAAGAAAGCCATCTAATTGCATTGAAGTCAACTTTAGACAAGTGAAAAACTTTATCTCTTGTGCATTTGGATGAGAGAGTTTGAGGTGGGATTTTGGGTGAGAAAGGGGCTAGGGTATGATCTTGGGAAAAATTTGGAATGGATTTGTGAATTGTCAGACATACTTTAAAATGGGATTTTAGAGCCCAAAATTCCATCTAAAAACACTACCTAAAGTGGCAAATGAAACAAGGAGATACTGTGCTTAGTGACTATTTTCTTGTTTAGTTGAACACCTCTTGATTTCTTACCACTCCACCCCTAAACCTTCACTGAGTCTCTTAACTTCTCTAGGAGAGGGTGATAGAAAATGCAGGTGGTTCCACAGTTAGCATGGTTAACAAGATCTTTGTCGAATGGAAGCTATGAGCAATAATTCCATTGCCTACAATGCTATTTCCTGTTCACAACAAAACCTATCAGAACTGTTAACATAAGTGATTGAAGAAAAAGTAGTTTCACTTGTGTCATGAGTCTCAAAAGAAGATAAAAAAGACTAATTTCCGTGTGTGAAGAAAAGTGGAAGAACAATTCTCTCGGGCCTCTCGGAAATTATGAAAATTTGTCTAAAAGTAAAGGTAGTTGCCTTATTTTCTCACTGTGAAGCTTACAAAAGCATGAAACAATCTTGTCCTTCACATGACTTATCAGAAGTTAGCATATTCAGATTAAACAACTTCCAAATGATTATACCCAAGAAATTCCAAATAAGAAAAATGACAAAAACAATGAGTTGCTGTGCTATGGGAATCTTTAACAACTACAATGCACAGTGAAGATCCCTGCAAAAAGAGAGGAATAAAAAAGGGGGGAAAGAAGACAAGCTGGCGATGAATATTTCCAAGTAAGATGTAACAAAAGTGGAAAACTCAGAAGCAAAGACAATCTAGCATATGCAAAATTACACCTCAAGAGATGCTTTCACTTTTCATGACATTCTCCAGCACACATTTCACATTTCAAAGCAATTTCAGAAAATGGAAGCTGAATAGTACAAATTAACTGCATACTCCAAACAAGCATAATTCCAGACCAGTAAAAGAAAGCAAAACCCAATTCAAGCATCCCACCAAAATTGCACTCTGAATCAAACTACCCAATATAAACAACACACAAACAAATAAACAGAGAAGAAATAGAAAATCTTACCAAGAACTGTAAATACCCCAAATGAGATTTTGAGCCAAAACCAATGGCACAAAAAAAGAGGACTGCCCAATTCCCAGATGAGATTCTGAGCCCAAGTGCTTGAGTATTCAACTTTAATCCACCCCAGCTTCCAATAATTGAACCAATTTTTTTCCTCCAAAAAATAAAATAAAATAAAAAAGAAAAGAAAGATAAACACAAGAACGAGGATGTTGAGGTGGAGAAAATCCGTGAAAGCTGGCCCGGATTATATGCGTGTCTTAGATTGATTTGGGCATGACAAAGTTTCCAACTTCCAAGAGTCAAAGTCTCAAAGATGATGGATTTTTGGATTTTGGCTTGCTTGCATTTGTGAGCGTGTGTCTCTGTTGCCTCTTAACACCTAAGCACACTTGGGACAATATTTTATACTTTTTCATTGCAATTAATGGGTCTGTGTCTTTTAGCGCCTCCTCCTTTCTTTGCCATTGCCCCATTTGCCCCATTGGTATTGGCAAGCTGACATTTCTCGCACGCAACGTTTTGAATATTTCAAACCAAAACCAGCCATCGGACCGTTTAAAGTTGAAAAAGTGACCTCAAACAGAGTGGGGGTGGGAGAGGTGGTCAGGTGAAGTCAAGTCTATGCTACTTTGGCTGCAGTTGCATTGCTCGTTGGCTATTGGTTCTGGTTCTGGAAAGTCAAAGTGACCAAGTCACTGGATCCAGACGTTGCAAAGGCGATGGCTCCTCTGAAAGAGACAGTCAGTTCGTACGAGTTTGAGTTTATGCGATTATTTATGGGTCGCCTGAAAAGGCCATGTGGCCATGAATGCACGAATCCAAGGAAGATTTTGGCTTTCCTGTTTTCGTTATGTCTCTTCAACTTAAGGCAACCAAAGTAAAGATTTATGAGCAAATTTCACTTGTTAGTTGTTAGATAAAGGAAGAGATTCTTGTGTCCGGCGTTACAAGTTCATTTAGATGAATTAATTCTACACTCGTTTTTATTAGAGTCTGACACAATGTACTGATCCTAACTAAAAAATGATTAAGCGATGGCATCCACCACTCCATGTTAATAACATAATCAATTATGAAGAAATTCCTCCTTATTATAAGGTAATCTGTATCTTTGGGGAAAGGTAATTGAACAATGTTGTTACACCGGCAAACGATAGACAACAACATTTGAAGAAGTCAAAGGTAATTGAACAACTTTATATACCTGTTTCTTTGTGCAGATAGGAAGATATATTAATATAATAATATAGTATGTCTCACATTTGGGGCTCCTAACCCACTCTTAGAGGACCAGATGGCAGTTTTGATTGGAAGCCTAGATTGCTAGATATCATTGTAGCCTTTTGTGGATAAATTATTTACAAATGATAGAACATAAATTCTGGAAGAGAAATCAATGTCTAATGACCTGTCATTAGAAGATATTTAACTTAATATGAGAGAGAGAGAGAGAGAGAGAGAGAGAGAGAGGGGTCGGAGTTGGACTTCTAGTTTCAACGGGCAAAAATATTTGTCTATCAATGACAAAAAAGGTTTTAATCTTGCCTTTCTCTTTCCTTGAACAGAGAAAAATTATGGACAGATAGATACCATTGCTCTTCTTGAATTCAACATGTCATTCCTTCATTTGAAAGTTTATTTTTTTATTTTTTTGGGTTGCTTCATAATAAAACCTTCTTGTTTTTCTGGGATGAGGTATAAACAAGAAAGCTTAGAGATACAAGATAACTCACTTAAACTCGTAACACAAGATTCAGACTGAAAATCAAGCAAAATTAACACTCTAAAAAAAATGAGACCTTACCAATATGTTTCTGTGATGAACTCAGTGTATTAATGGAACAATGAAAACAGAATCACCTCTGACTGAGAAAGCTTACCAATATGTTTTTTTTACCAATATGCTACTCTTAAACTTATTCTGGATCCCAGCTCTGGTAAACTATGTACGATGAAATATGAATGGCTTTTGTAGCCCAAAAAAGCTACATAATCATGTACACTGTGATTAATGTTGTTTAAGATTATTTGGTTTAATACCTGTTAATTAAAGATCTCAACTAGCTTAGCTAGTTGTTAATGTTTTGGTGTTGTTTCTAAGGAAGTGGGATTAGCTAGGGGTGACCCAAGCATTAGGCAAGGGGCAATTTGCATAAAACACGCCAACGTTATCTTTGTTATGGACTTTTGGCTTGTATTGCTGAGCTTTCAATCCTTGTCTCTGATCTGGATCTGGTGTCATATGTCCTGTGATGTTACAACAATTTTTACTATTGAAGTGAATTGTTTGTATTTTCTAAAACATAAAATGGGATGAGAACTACTTTAATTACTTTATTTTTTTTAAAGAAGGATAAGAAAATATCCCAATCAAGATTTGACTTTGAAATTACAGTTCACTTTTGTCCTCCTTTTCAAGCATTCATCAATTTATTCTTTTCAGGGTCTCTTATCATTCAAATTTCTCCAGGGAAACCTTAGTTAATTTTCTGCACTGATGAATTTCCATGAAAACCTATGTACATGTCATATAGATAGACTCATAGTGTTGATATGTTATAGGAGAGTGCTATGCAATTCTAATATATCAAGAGAATTCTACAAATTGATGACTGCTCTCCCAATTGAAGTATGCAGTGCTTAACATATAACAATACTTAATTAAACAACGAAAGAAGACATATATTTTACAGAGTTATACATGTGTCAAATATTACAGCTTATACGTAAAGAATGAAGTGTATATCATCATCAATAGTATAAAAGAGAATTATATATAGGACATGAATCATCTATATTTAGCAGGATTAGGGCTGCAGGATGATGATGCTGGATCATCAGCAGCACCAGTTGGTAAGTCAGAGAAGGCAGCCAGAAGACGGTTAATGCTAGCAGAACGAACCGGCCTAAAGCTGTTGAATGACCTCAACTTGTTCTTGGAAAAGAGATTGGATGAACTTGAAAGGATGAGATAAACCAAAGCTTGAACTACCACAAAAATAGCCACCTTCATCAATGTGTTATCCACCAGCACCAAGGAAGTCTCCACCACCATTTTGTTGTTGTTAATTTCCTTTTTCTAAGAGAAGTGGTTGCAGCAAGAGTTGTGTATTTGCTTGAGCTAGAGTTGGGGAAACCCTTGTTATATATATAGGAGGAGAAAAGGAAGAACAGCCTAGTGGTTAATACTTTGACCACAGACATGCTTAATTATATATGTAATTATAATTAATTAGTCTGCGGCATAGACTTGACTGCACAGGACTTCAAATTAAGGGTTCTGCTTTTTTTGGATGAAGAGTTTCTTTCTGTTTTAATCATAATTATTTCCACTCGGTTTTGGAAGTTAATGCAAATGATGCAGTTGGTGGCTTAGCTACTTTTTATTAATGGCAATGTGTTGACCACCAAAAGTTTAGAATAGTTGTCATCACGACCATGAGAAGAATATGACCCCCCAAAGTCCAAAATGTTGAACTGTGCTTGGCTGACCTGGCCCTGACTCTACATGATCTTTAACGTCTGTACATACTTTTAGTTTTAGATAAGAGAGAGAAAGAAAGAAAGGAAGAAAGAGAGAAAAATTTAAAGAATATTTATGTGTTTGCTTTGGAAAGAATCTATGGTGGGAAAAATCCAACGAGACTCTTGTGGCCTATACCGAAAGAAATACATTAATTCCGTGCAAGAGATATGAATACAAACAATTCAAGAAAGACACTCAATTGAAAAGCAAAAGATAACAAATAATCCAATGTTTAATGTGTGTAAAAGAAGGTTAATTAATTTATAATCATGGTGAATGTTTAGGTTTTTGCAAGTGATTAGAAGATACGAACCTTAGCATTTGCGCTAATGGGCTGCAAGAGAGCACATGAAAGTTTGATATACCTTTTATGTGAAAAGCACATTTCCACGCAAAGGAGTTATTATGCAGCCTGGTTTGGTTACAACAAAAGAAATTTACTTTACATTGTACACGAAAGGTTAAAGGTGTCAAAAACGTGAGGGGTTTGTATCTCCATTTGTTAAGAATATTCACCAACGCATCCTGGATTCAATCTTCAAATCTCCATCCCAATATAACTTGTATAAGAAAAAAAAGGGTAAAAAACAAGAGTGACGCTGCATTATTCAAGCAATTACAAGGATACAATCATACAATATTAGCATGATAGATAGGGTGCAGTGCAGGCATCAATTTCAGTGTACTACAGTAAACAATCGTATGTCTGAAGCGAAACCAACACGTGGCAACGTGGTGTAGTCTAAGTCATATTAGTCATCGATGTCTTATGAGAGCAAGGCACGTGTTATCTATGTGTCCACATTCAGGACACATGTCAATCACCTAGCTTGAAGAGTAACCTTTTACAGTTTACAACTCAAAAACATTCAGAAGTTCCTGCAGCGCATATCAATCACTGTGTTGAAAGAGAAATGGCATCTCATAGGCAGAGCTACAGGGCTGGTGAAGCCAAGGGCCAAACTCTGGTAACTCTTTCACAATGCATGCATTGACAAGTTAGTTTAGCTACATTTCTACAAGTATATTTATACATGCTACTTTTTTGTTTTCTCAGGAAAAGACAAGCCAGATGATGGGCTCACTAGAGGAGAAGGCCCAGGCAGTGAAGGACAAGACCTACGAGACGGCCCAGGCAGCCAAAGAGAGAACAAGGGGTGCAGCGCAACCACCCAAAGACAAGGTCCAAGGGAAGCAAGAAGTTGCCAAGGATAAAGCAGATGTTGCGAAGGGTAAGGCCTGGCAGAGCAAGGAGGTGACCAAGCAGAAGGCCTCGGAAGAGGCCGGAAAAGCCCAAGATACGGCGGAGGCCGGGAAGGACAAGTCTGAGGGGTTCCTCCAGCAGACTGGAGAGAGTGTGAAGAACATGGCACAGAGTGCTGCTGATGCTGTCAAAAGTACCTTTGGCATGGCCAAGGATGATGATGAAGACACTCCTTATTATAGGAAGGACAGGGACTAGTTTGAAGTGATATATATTGTTACTTTCTGGACTTCAGCTGTTGTTTTTTAAGTTGCTTATGTTGTTGTTGCCGGGCAAAGTTTTAGAACTCCTGTGCTTTCCCTCTCTGTGAGATAGATGGGAATGTGCCTTTGGTTTTTTAGTGTCATAGGAGTGGAATTGTAATTTTCAGTCATATATGAAATGCAATCCGCTGAACTACATTTCATGGGTCTTTCTTCGCAGTGTAGCCGCCGGCTCTACGTTTGAAAAATTCTATTTACAAAGTATCGCCGCGCGGCTATACTTTATAAAATTTCTATTTATAGAGTATTGCCGCACGGCTATACATGTAAAATTCTATTTATGGAGCATAATATACTGTTAAAAATCGTATTGCTGCGCGGCTATACTCGGGTTTTTTAATAATATTTTTCAAAACCGTATAGGTGGGCTATACTCACCATATAGCTGCGCGGCTAAACTCAATTTTACCTTTTAAAAACAAATAGTATCGCTGCTCGGTTATACGTGTTTTGACACGTAGCCGCCTAGGCGGGTTCTCTCCTCCAATCGTCTGTGTCAATTGTGGATTCTCTTCCACCTTATCAAGCCTAAAGCAACCAAACACACACCTTCAAACAAAACGACAAAACTTGAATCCCTTAACCAGATGCCCAACTTTTAAATAAATTTGAAAACAAAAAATCAACCCAGAAATCAGTATCACTTGGACTTAGTTGGGTTATCAACCACCGAATTGAGCACCTAGTGAGGTGAGTGTCTTGAGGTTACTGGACTAGAGAGACTGGAGTTGTAGAACAGAGTGAGAGGCCATGGCAGCTGGTATAATATTCGAATATGTTTCAGCGGTATAGCAGCGTGGCAATACTAATTAAATATTTGAATATATTAGAAAGGTATAGCCGATACTAATTAAATATTTATTTATATTAAAAAGGTATAACCGTGCGACGATACTATTTAAATATTAAATATACAAAAATGGAACGCCAAGGAGGGAGAGCCCTTGACCTTGAGGCGGGCAGAAACTTGTTGCCAGGAAAGTTTCCCTGTTTCTTCGCTGGCAGGCGATTAGATGCCCTGTCCGGCTATACTATTTTTAGAAAACATAAAACCCGAGTATCGCCGCATGGCTACACGATTTATTTAAAAATTTAGGAAAACTAGTATAGCCGCTCGGCTATACTATTTATTTTTAGACTAGCGCCTCCAGGCTCCAGCCATTGAAAGTGTCACAAAATAGTATAGCCGCGCGGCGATAATATTTAAAAGAAACATTACCTGCCTGGCGCCTCCCAGCCACTGAAAGTCAAAAATTGTATAGCCGAGCGGCTATACTATTTTTAAAAAACATTAATTTTTTTCTTAATTTTTATAAGGAATATGGCCGTACATTTTCCATATATTCGAATATTTAAATGGTATATCCACACGGCTCTATCCTTTGAATATATATGAGTATTTAAAGAGTATATTCGATCAAGTACTTGAACAGGTTCGCTTGGCTCTTTATTATCATCTTGTTGAAATCTTGGTTGGCTTGTGTCAAAATGGGGGAAAAATTATACTTCTTATCGTTTAGTTGTTTTGTTGAAGCTCATTCGTGCTGGTTAGGTATTTTTCATGTGAACACAGTGAATTTGATCTAAATATTGTCTGATTTTTGACATTCAAATATTTCAAAAGTATAGCTGCTATTTAAATATATTGGACTCAGGGTCACTTCTAATACATTATCAACCGAAAACCTCGGAAACTTTTAGTGACGGTGGAGAAAGTAAAACTGATCACACGTGACTCACCACTATCTCTCCCTCCTCTCCATATGCCTAATAAATTTCTTCATCTCCATCACAAGTTTCCAAGGTTTTCCAACTTGAACGATAGACAAGCATGCAACAAAATTTCTTTCATATTGAATGCTCATGTGATTGGTACAATTACTAATAAATTAGGAACATTATCAGCCCCATCTGAACACAATCAGAAGGAATCTCAAATTTTGCATCAATCACTTATGTCCTCAATTCCTTCAAAATCACTAACACCATCAAGTGCTGCATCTGACTCCTCTTCATCTTCATCGTCTTGATCGGTGTCCATGGCATCCTCAGATTCCTCTTCATCACTGTCATCATTGTCCTCATAAACAACAGGAATTGTGGTGCCAGTCTCATCCACATCATCAAGTACCTGTTCAAAAAGCTTGCATTAACTATGTTTTCGAGAGTATCTCATTTGCAATGAATTTCACTAACACAAGCACCCTTACCCCTGTATAAAGTAAGTCTAAGACACTTGATAGTTGAAGAGATGACTGAAATGTGGAAACTCTGGACTCAATGAGCTGCATATATAATGACAAATTCCATTAGAAAAAACAAAAACTAGAAGGCTTTCCTATGACATGATATAAAGCATTTCATTATTCACTTGCAACTTTCTATAAGAAAAGAAAAAACAGGAAATGAAAGAAAAACGAAAATGAACTAGTGATATACGTTGAGCATGAGCATGCCACTTCATAAGGTTTAATTTTACATTCAACTAAGTAATTTTAATTTCGAAACGAAGTCCAGTTGGCTCTTTCTTAAACAATAACTTTTCTTTGGGAGGGGATATATCTATATCAAAAGTTGCTGACCTGATACAAGGAGTTCAAGGCACTTAAAGAAGATTCTTGGGACACTATACCACTTGCATGTTGAAGAAGTAGACTTCTCAACCATGGAAGTGCACATGCCAAAATTGCACCCCTGGAGTAAAAAAAATACAGCAAAAAAATGAATCAATTAGGTAAACCAAAAAATCATCCGGCATATACAGTGTACTACTAGCTAGCTTACCTCGACTGAATAATAGAAATGAGAGATTGTAAGAGCTTCAAAACACCAGATGGATTCAATAGTGAGATAGACTTTGCAATGACCTAAAACAATAGATTATATCATCCACATTAACACTTATCTTCAAACATCAGTTTTAAATAATTAATATGAACTATGGGAGCTATTACCTTCTCATCTTGGGTGTATAAGCAATCTAATAGAAGGGCACGGTCTTCGGCATGTAGTGCTTGTTTAAGTAAAATATGAACAGAGTCTGCACTTGGAGGCTTTGCATTGAGAGAAGAGTCTTCTTTATCTTGGCTCTGTAGTCCATCATTATCTAATAAATTTAAACTTTCAAGTTTTTCTCCCATGGTTGGTTCATTCAAATCATCCTCAACAAGGACTCCGTCTGCAGCCTCTCCATTACCTACATGGATAAAGGGTACACATATCAACAAACCAAATGCCCAAGATTTGTATATTGTGCATGAACAGTTGTCCTCCTAATCTACAATTAGGAAGTTTGAATAAAATATGAAAACATGTAATCAAATAATCATGATTCACGTTATACTTCATCATAATAACATGAATCTTGATAGCACACACGCAGTAGTGCACTTTATCTAATCCTTTCCTTTTCCCCCCTCTTGAATGGGGAGGGGTTTGGAATAGAACCAGTATTATTCCAAAATCCTAAACGGTGATCCTAGTTTTGTGTCGAGTATAAGAACCCTTACCAAGTTCAACGATGTCTTTAACAGTTGGAAGATCTGGATCCGGTGCTGCTGCACGCTTCTTACTTCCCTTTTTACTCTTCATTGGCGGAGCTGCTGTCAGTGAAAAGGCATATGAAGTTTCTGTTAGAATTTCTACAGCAGGATAATTCAAGAAGTGCTTTCATAGTAATGATTATCACATAAAAGAATATCAACCTTTTTTTTTAATAGAAACGAAATTTATTGAAAGAAAAAGAAGAGGAACACACAGGTGGATAAAAAATCCACAAGCCAAACGAGCAACAACAGAAAAACAGACTAAAAACACAAAGACACCAGCCAAACTACACAAAGACTGCTACACCAGAAAGACCCAAAGAAACCAAGTCGCAAAACAAACACTTCACATCACAGCAGCAGCGATATGATATGCTCCATCGATACGGTCCCGAAACGTCAAGGGGTAATTTTCACGGCAACCAAAAGAGAAGAAGAAGAAGGAAGAATGAAGAAGAAAAGAACTTACTTGCGCTTGCAGCTGCTGCGAATGTTCAGTTGCAGACAGTTGCTGTGCGAAGAAGAGGCGGCTAACTAGTGAAGAAGATGATGTTAGGTGCCCTAATTACAATACGCACCGTTTTAGTTGCACGTTAGGTGGCCTATGTTAAAAAAATTGTTTTATACCTTTTTAAGTCTAATGCATTCATTTTGGCCCAGCTCAAGAACTGAAAGAAATCATACATGGCCTAGAAAAACATAAGGAACCAGATAAAAAGCCCCAAAATCTGAAGTGACACACCAACACCCACTCCCTCATCCTCATAAAAAAATCCTCTTGTTGCGCACCATCCAAATGTTCCAAAATAGAGACTGTACCAAGCAACCCCATAAGGTTGAAGCACGCTTCCCCCTGCCCCAAATGACACAATGGGAACAGAGAAGATCATAGCAACCTTTTGGAATAACCCAAACAGTCTTAACCTCCGTCAACGAGGTCTACCATAGACTTAGCGAAAAGAGGCACCGTAAAAAAAGGTGATACACGCAAATATGTGATGGTATAATACTGTGTAAAGTAACAAGAAATATGAACTAATAATCTGAGTTTAACTCGACCAATCTATATAATAATAAGCTGAAAATGATTTCGCAGAGGTAAAGGCAACCCAACACAACACAGAGCAACAAACCCATCTAAAACAAGCTGCAAAACAAATTGAAGGCCTCAAAGCAAATCCCATCTCTCGAAAGCACCATAACCAAATAGGATGAAGACTTGTGTAGCATAATAAAAAATAAAAAATAAATAAAAAAAACAAAGCTTGAACTCATCAATGGAGCTTGAACTGGAAAAGAGTTTAAGAATGAGTTACCTTACCTTGAGAGATTTTTGTGGAAGCTTGGGCAACAATCTTCAATGGAGTTTAAAGGGGAGTGATGAGAAGGGACGAGAGATTGAGAGGCGGCGGCTGTAAGGCTGAGGAGTACAAGAGGCGAAGAAAGAGAGGGAGGAAACGAAAGAAGAGGACGACTTGTAGGCCTTGAAAGTGGCAACTGGTTTGTTAGCTTCTTGGGCCTTTGGGCCTTGCTTTTCTTTTCTTTTTTCCTTTTTTTTTTTTTTGGCAAAAGTAACCTTGATCAACCAGAAAATAATAATAATAATAATATTAGCCTCTTTGTACGCATTTCGGAGCATGCGAGAGGCCTTTTTTTCAAAAATCTAAATTTATTTTAGAATGAAAAAAGATAATGGATAGTTGTGTTCCATAAAAATAGGATTAATTATTTGATTTTTCTTTTAATTTTAATTTTTAAAAAATAAAAAAGTGTGAATTTATCATATTATCCTCATTTAATTAATAATTTCAATTCTTAATATTTGCATTAACCAATGACATTTTCTGGTATTTTGAATATTTGACCATTCTCTGCCTTTTGCTTTATATATATACTAGCTCATTGGCACATGCTCAAGCATGTCCTAATTGTTTTTATTTTTTATTTTTTATTTTATTTTTAGAATTATGAAAAGATAATATGGGTAGTTATGTTCCATAAAAGTAGGACATATTATCTGATTTAATTTTTATTTTTAATTTTTTAATATGAAAAAAATGTGAATTTATCATATTATTCTCATTTAATTAATAATTTCAATTCTTAATATTTGAATTAACTAATGATATTTTCTGGTATTTTGAATGTTTCACAATTCTCTGCCTTTTGCTTTATATATATAGATATATAGATAATAATAAAATAAAGTCATCTCTTTTCGGCAATTTATATTTAATTGAAGAAAATAGAATGTAATTTACACCATCTTACTTATTATTATTATTATTATTATTTTAGTACAACCAATATTGAGAGAGAATCAAATCTAGAATCTTGATTGCACGTGCAAGGACAAATATTGAGCTACAAACCAATTGCCCATCATTAATTATTAAATTGCATAAACATAAGTTAATTTAAGATTGTCAATTACAATCAATCACAATTTATCTTCCTAATCTAATTACAATCATTCCTATTGATAGCCAAAATATGGTAATTAACAATTAACAATTACAAAACAAACAAAAAAACAAAAAAAGAGAGAAGAAAGTTCTTTAGGTATCCAGCCGGTTGAATGAAATAGTGTGAAATCTTTTCCAGATTGCCAACTTTACATCACAATATTATATGTGAATAAATAATAATTGTTATCGGGAAACATAATAATTGAATGAAAATGTTAGAGATATTATACAAGTTTCTCGGATGAGAGAATAAATGATTCTCGGATGAGAGAATAAACTCATTTGAATTTTAAAATATATAAACCCTAACATGATCATCACATTCACATTAAGCAAACATCAACGAGCCATGCTACCTTCTTCTCATTCAACACCATCACTTCCTCCCCATCCTCCTCCTCCTCCTTACCCTAATGCTCTTGGTATTCTACTAGTTTTGTTGGGAATTTTTCTAATAAATGAGATTATAAATTCTAGTAGTTATTTTGTTGGGCTTGCAAGTTTAATCCCAATCGGCATCCTAGCTGTCTTTATGATAGTGGTTTCCTGGTTCCTTGCCATTGTTGACCCATTTCGAAGAAAACCCTTGGAGATGCTTCTGCCGCCACCCACAATTTACAGAAGCCGTGAATTCATAACCAGAAGAAGAAGTTGCCAGCAGCAATGTGTTATTTGCATGGAGGACTACGTCGACGGTGACTGCTGCCGGGTTCTGCCTACTTGCAAGCACACCTTTCATTTGATGTGCATTGATCCTTGGCTCACTTCTCAGCTAACTTGTCCCATTTGTCGTAACCCTATCTCCACTGTTTACGACTTGTGTTAATTAACTAGTTTATATGTTTTATTGATGTAACACGCATTTCTCTTCTTCTTTTTTCGGTCATTATGTAATACACATATTTGTTTTCGATCGAAAAGTGGAAATTTCATTGAACAAATGCCAAAGTACAGGTAGTTATAAGACCCTTGGTGGAAGAAATTCGGTCAAAGAAAAAAAAGAGTACCCCGACATCCGAAACAACCAAAAACAATAAATCTACCCACTCTCCATGGCAATTACCAATTGTAAAGCCAACCATTCAGGAGCCAATTAACCTTCTCACCAAAATTGATGGGAAGAACTTTGTAACCTATACAAACATTTCTACATAATTCGTTGCATTTTAATGGTCTATATCCTGCCCTAAGCTATGTTGTTTTAATTAATGGTTAATCCAAAGCAAACTGAGGAGCAAATCTCTCCTAATTCCTTGTTCTATTAAAAAAAAAAAAAGGGTTAATCAAATCAAAGTGAAATGTCAAGATTTTTTCAGTCACTCAAGTATACATATTCCCACTGACAGAAAAAGAACATGAATTGAAATTGAATTAAACATTAATTTCCCTAAAAAAAAGAAGATATGTGATGGTAATTAAAGATCACAATTAATTATAATCAATCACAATTGATCTCCTAATTGTAATCCAGCTGGGTGAATGAAATATAATCAATGTCCGAAATTGCTAACTTTACCTCACAAATAACGATACTTTAATTTTAAGATAAAAAATAATAGTACAATTAAATGAAAGAAAATCAAGAGAAATGATCAAGGCATCAATCACTACTACATTTTAGTCTTTGCTCTTTCGTCGCGCAAAAACGATTTTAGTCGCACAACATTATGCGCGACAGAATCTTCGTCGCGCGCAATCCGTCGCGCAAAGGTCGTGAAGAAAGCATTTGCGCGACGAACAAATGTCATTCGTCGCGCAGTTTGCGCTACGTATAACATCTTCGTTTCAAAAAACATTTCGGGACGACCTCATTGTCCGTCGCACAAATATTTGCGCGACGAAACAGAAGTCGTCGCAAAACAAACTGCGCGACAGAATTGTCCGTCGCGCGAACTGCATGAACCTTGCGCGACGACATCTTATTCGTCGCGCATACACATCTTGCGCAACGAAATTACTCGTCGCGCAAGATTAAGATATATTTAAATGTTTTTGCGCGACGATTTATGTTTCGTCGCGCAAAAGCAATATATATTATTAAAAAAAATTTATTATTATTTGATTTTTAATTTTGTAAAAAAATAAATTTTGTTTTTTTTTATAATTAAAATGAAATTACTATAAAAAAAATTAATCGTAAAGAAAACATCTATTATATAAAATAAAATAAATGTATACAAATTGTAAAAATAATTATAAAAATAAAAAACTAATCAAATAATGTTCCGAAATCTAATTGGTCATCTGCCACATGCGGCTCGGAGGTATGGGCGTCTGCAGGGGCCGTGGTGTGCTGGGGATGCTCGGGCTGGACGGGCTCGGAGGGCGACGCACCACAATTC